TGATCATACATCAACTTTATTACCTGATGGTAGAATTGTAATTATTGGTGGAAGAGGGGAAGAAGCTTCAAATATGGTTAATATGTATAAAGTATGCATTTATTTTACACATCTGTATCATAAAGTAAAATAATATCTGCATGTTAATAAATTCATTTTATAGATAAAAATTTTTGATACAAATAGTTCAACTTGGTCAATTATGGTAAATATTTAATCAATTGTTTACAAGATTCTTTATAAAAAAAAAACAATTAATTTCAAATTTTCTTACACTTCGATGAAAATTTTAGATGGCACATGGTCCATTAGATATCCAACCTCGAAATGGTCATTCAGCTGTACTTTGTAATCAATTTTTAATTTAAAATTTTTTAGAATCCACTTCATTTCCTGAACTTTTGGTACTAGATACAACCACAAATCCTTTTCAATGGTCAGCACCTAATTTTTCAAATGTTAATCATGCCCTACCTGTAACACACCATTCAGCTAATTTAATTGGAGATCAAATGGTAATAAGTTTTGGTATATTTTACTTTTAAAAAAGCTTTTTATTTTTTCAACTTTGAAGTTAATTAATAATTAATTAATAAATTACATATACATATATAGGAAATGTTACAAATAATGTTTCAGGTCCAAAATCATCTACTGCAAAAACTTATATACTTGATATTAAAGATTTTACTTGGAAGGAAAGTTATTCAGTACCTGCAGCACAATCACCATCACCATCAACACCAACACTAACAACAACACCACCAGGATCAGATACAACAACACCACCAACAACAACACCAACAACATCACAACCAGATACATCAACATCAATAACATCATCAAACACTTTTCAAATATTAATAATAGTAATTGCAATTTTAGTTGGAGTAATATTAGTTGGAATAGCAACATTCATGATTGTAAAATATAGAAATAAAAAAAATGCAATTCCAAGTGAAATCTTAGAAATTCCTAGTGATCAACAGCTTGAATATAGAAATACCCTATCTTATCCTAATGCTCCATTTCGTTAATAATATTATGATATTGATTATGTCATTTTCGTTTTAGCTTAAATAATAAATATAGAGTGTAAGTATTCTCATCATTATTATTACATACAATATTATTCTTGAAAAATATTAACTGTTGATTTTTGTTTATTTTAAATAATAAATAAAAGGTAAGTATTTTTATTATATACTACCATTACCATTGTTTTTGTAAACATATTAACTGTTGATTGATTTTCATTTTATTTTAAATAGAAAATAGAGTAAATAGGCTGTATTTGCTTTTTGGCTCTTTGATAACTTCATTTATCTCTAACTTTTTTTTACTTCATCTTATATTTATCTTTATTTTTTATTGTTGGTTATAATTTTATGTTGCTTAAGATTCATGCAAACTATAATGTTTATATTATAACATAGAAAGTAAAAATAAATAAAACAGTTCATACACAATAAGTGTTTATTATAAAAGATTTATGTGTCAATTTAAAATGGGAATGATTAATAAAGTTACACCCAGTGTGTGAAATTGAGTGCGGGCGCGCGTGTTACATTAAAGGTAGCCAATAATCTATTAGCAGGATCGTGCAGAAAATTCGCGTAACAAATCAAAAAAAAAATTATATTAATAAATATTTACTTATTAACAAACATACTCTTCTTTTCTTCTTATTTATTATTCTAATTGTATAATGTGTTTCTAATAGAAAGGTTTATCTTCAATTGAAAAGATCCGCTTGCAGATTCTGTGGCTTATTACACTGTATTAAGATTATTTTTCATACTTGATCGGATGATAACTTGGAATTGGTGAATAAATATTGTATTTTTTATGTATATTTACTGCGTACTGTTGATCTTATTATTATATTCTTGATGATTTAACTTGAACAAAAATCAAACAAAAATCATTGTATTTTTTATATTTAACTGTTTTACATAACATTGTTTTTATTAGATGCTATCTTATATTTTTAGATGATATCAAGCTTCAATTAAAGAGTTAGCAGATAAATATGAGGCGAAGACTACAATATTATTAATTGCTTTACATGTTCATACTATATACATGAAGTCAAAATGGTGAAATTATGTCATATCCAATGATCCAACTTTAATGAAATATGGCTTATTAGAATAGTATCGTAAAGGTAATATAATAGTGTTTTAATGTTCATAACGATATACAGTAAACAAAAATATCTCACTAACTAGTGATTCCAATTTTATGAATTAGACATCTCATTGAGAGAATTCGAATGGCAGTTTTTTTTTATCCAAAACAGCCAGATATTGACTGAGTATGGTAATTTCAGTTAATTTGATACGTTTTTTTTCATGGCAATAAAAAATTATTATTATTATTGCTTTATAATTTTTTCCGTAAAAATTCCGTATTAGTATTAGTATATATACTACTACTACACTCACCTGCCATAATAATAAGTATTGGCAATTTTGCCGGAAATAATTGAACAAAGTGAAATAAAAAATAACTCAAAATTTTATTATCACAATCACTTTTGTATATTAAGCAAAAATCAATATTCATAATGATTTCCATAAAATACCTGAGTTTTATAATGCTTTGTTTACAATTAATAATTTTATTAGCTTTAAAAGTCAAAGTAAAAAATTTTCAATTGATAATTTCCAAGTTTTAACATGTGTAGGTAACATAATAAAAAATGTGCGCCATGCTTTGAAATATATATATATATATATTTGGTTTAACGACGTAGTCTTGCCGTGACATTTTATTGGTTTGAATTTTTACATATGAAATTAAAAAAAAGAAAATTACATAATAATAAAATAAAACAATTTTAAATGCACAACTCCCCCCCGTAATACTAAAAGTATCCGTTTGAAGCGACTTGGCGTACACAATCTCCACGTGACCTCTTTTCTTCAAAAAAAAAAGAAAATTAAGCTGAAGCACCCCATTTCATTGACCATGCAAGACATCTTGTCAAGAAACGTCGAAAAACCCACCATTATTTCTTGAAATTTGTGTTGTTACCTGTTATCTTTTTATTGATAACAATAAATATTATTTTTGTTGTTGAACCTTTTATTAGAGAAATAAAAGTTTTTGTTTCGTTTTTTTTACAAAAAACTGACTTCTTCAACACCTCCACTCCCCTCCCCACAACTATTCTTGAAGTTGGAAGTTTGTCTTTTTTAATACTTATACTATGTATATTGTTTTAATGTTCTCTAGAAAAAAATTGACTCAAAAGAAATTTTTTTTTGGCTGCGCCCCGGTGGGAAAAGATTTTTTTTTTTTTAAATATATATATATATATATATTGTTCGAATAGTACGTAATATAAACATTATCAAAATTGTTTTTAGATCTTCACGTTGTTTTTCACAAAAAATCATATATTTAAATCAGATGACTAAAATTAGAGAATTATCTGTACCAAATTGACATAGAGACATTGGCAAATTTAGTTGATAGTATGCCTAGGAGAATAGATGCTGTAAAAAAATCTAAAGACTATCCAACTAATTATTAATAATACTAAATATCCAATTATATAAAATAGATTAACAAGTTAAGTATTAGCAAAAACAATTATTTTGCAGTTCTTATTTTTTTATTTCTCAATAAAATATATATTTCAAAACATGATACACATTTTTTATTATGCTGTTAAGATGTGTTAAAACTTGACAATTGGGTTTAATTATTGAATGAAAAAATGATATAAATGTTTTACGTTTAATTTAAAATCTCAATAGTCATATAATGAATCATTACATAAGTTTATTATATATATATTCAAAGCATGGTACACATTTTTTATTATGTTACCTAGACATGTTAAAACTTGGAAATTAGGTTTGTTTTCAATTGAAATTTTTTACTTTGACTTTTAAAGCTAATAAAATTATTAATTGTAAACAAAGCATTATAAAACTCAAGTATGTTATGGGAATTATTATGAAGATTGATTTTTGCTTAATACACAACACAAAATTTATTTCACTTTGTTCAATTATTTCCAATGATCTGCAAAATTGCCAATACTTATGGCAGGTGAGTGTAATAAATTACTGTAATCAAATATTGCCAGCATGGACCCTTGGAAAAATACAATTCTTTCTGTGCTCCAAAGAAATCAATGGTTTTTCTCCACCTTCTCTCCACCAAGCGAATTGAATTGGCTATTGCCATGATCATTTCTGTTGTTGAAAACTTTCTAAACTATATATGATGCATTATTTACCAGAAATTATAAAGCAACTTTATGGATCTCAATTATTTTTTTTATTTTTTATTTTTATTTTTTTTTATTATCCTATTTTTTCTCAACAAGCTTTTTTCAAAATTATTTTATTTTGGTTTTCACTTTCTATTTTTTCCTTTCTCTATAGTTGTTTAGTCATTAGTTTGAGATATCAATGATTTCGATGAATGGTGGTGGTAAAGAAAAATTATTAAATATATATGATATTAAAATCACTTATCAGGTTGTTGATTTTTATATGTGCATATATATTGCATTTATTGTGATTATAATTATAAATACACAATATTAATTGATTTTTTTATTAAAAAGCTACAATCGGCGCTCGATATAATGAAGTTTTGGCTAGTACAAATTTGGAAACTATCTTCAGAAAAATTGAATTTTATTGGATATTAACGCAGATAGTTTCCAAATTTGTACTAGCCAAAACTTCACTATATCGAGCGCCGACTGTATTTTTGAATTTGTACATAATATTAAAATTATCTATCAGGATATATACTATATGGGGCATACTGCAACAAAACCAGACAAAGTGAACATTTGCATATTAAGGATTTCAGGGATCAAAATTTAGTCATTTGTAAT